AGCAGAGATTTCCTTTTCACTGTTTGCTTAAATCAAGGTAGTGCTTTTGTATCAAAACCAAAAAAAAAGTAATCTATATATTATATTCCTATATAGTTTTGACAATTACAGGTGGTAATTTAATTAGCAAGTTTCTGTTTTAATTAGTATGGAATAATTTATAATAAAGGGAGGGATCTCTGCTGCAGCTTTCTAACACTACGTTTTTTGACCAGAGGTTGCATGGTGGTTTGCTTTAAAGTGGTATTTCCTTGAGGGAGATCCACAGAAGTACAATCTATTTTCATAAACTGGTATATGTTATGATTTACTGTAGGCATGTGACACTTTCTCCTATTCAGACACGCTTTGCCAAAAAATTAAATAAAATTGAACACAGCAAACCCTTCTAATCCCTGCATTCCTCACAGATTGCTTTAATGGAGACTGAAGAAATTATTGGAAGTAAATGAATACAAAAAAGGAAATGGTACTGGGGAAATCTCAACAAGGGATCTTAAAAACCAGGGTGGCTATGGATCAGCAAAGGGTAGAAACATTCATGTAATTAAAGGAGAACATAATTTGTGAGTTATCTGAAAAAAATTGTCTGGGTTGGCATTTACTTTGACTTGTTGGCTGGAGGAGAAGAAACCGCCCTGTACCACTGCATACGGTTCCTTATTAGTTGTGGCTTCTGCAGAGGCTCTGTCTCCTCTTTGGAGCAAGGAGGATTTCTTTCATTACATAATCCGGATTATGTTTTTTTTAATAGATTGAATTTTTTTTTCTCCTGTGTGTGCAAATTCTCCTTGCCCCAATGCTTCTATACTGAGGTTATTATGCCGAAGGAATGCGAGTGTCTAGAGTAACAATGGTTCGTTTTCGTTTAATGACTTTGTCGACAGGATGGAGACATTTTTGTGGTGTGATGAATTCACTCGGTCTCCCGTTGTGTTTTCTCCACATGCTTTGGAAACTCTCTCTCTCTCTCTGAGAATTGTGGCCATCCACTCCAGCAAGAGCTTCATTACTTTATATTCATTGTATTTAAATGACACCCCAGTGGTACTGACCTCCTGGGATGATTGATGTAAATTATATGCTATGTAGGGGGAAAATAAAATCTTTTTCTGACTTTTTATGTTCTGCAGAGAAATAAAAAGTGAAAACAAATGACAGAGAAAATCAGGCTTATTCAAAGTGAAACTTTGTAAGCATTATGGTTTGAGCAGACTCCAGCTTGTAAAAGTGCTGAGATAGTTTATAATGACCTTGTGATCTGAAAGGTGACCTGGAAAGGGGAAACAATTTTGTATGTGCCCTTTTTTGGTTCTGTACAATGCATAACAAAAACTTGATCAGGTTTTTTTCCTCTCTGTGAAGTATTGTAAGAATTCAGACCCAAGCAGGGAGCAGCCTCTGCACTTTTACCAGCTAGAGAAAGGCACAGTACTAGAAAGGACACCTCACTCCTCTTTCCTCCTGTCTTCCAGCAGATTTTCTTGTATTGATTTCAGATTTCATAGTCAGTAGGTATCTATCTTGTCCAATTATTCTGCCAGGAGTTATTACCTACAGAAGTTGCAACAGGGGGAACGTTCTTTCATCAGCCCAGCTCATCACTGGGCAGCAACTTCAATCCCTTCTGAACTGGTAACCTCTCACTGCAGGCAAAAGGGTTCTACACAGCAACACAGTTTGTCAGAAAATATTTCTGTCAGTGCTTTTTCAGGCACCTCACCAAGTCACACTGCCTCTTTCCAAGCTCCTGGAAGTTATGTAGTTCACAGTGGACATGCTTAACCACATTATCCTAGTAATCCCCTTATTAAAATTACCATATGGAACTGGCATAGTAATTTCTCTATTTGTCTATGTTTTCATATTAGTCTGTCCTACCAATTCTGATATACATGAAGCTATGCATAGAAATCTCAGCAATATGCTGCCTTGCCTTCCTCAGTTTAATGTAAAGTTTTGACAAATCATAGAATTTGGCTAAAAACTTGAGTTGCCTTGAGTTTTTCTGCAGTACCTTTCACAACTTGACAGAACGCTTTGATTCTCCTTTTGGCCAGGATGCTCATCAGTAACCCTGCTTTGGCTGGGGTTGCCCAGATATTTTAAAATGTCTAACAGGAAGGAATAGTTTAGTCCATCCTCCTCGCAGCACTCACTAGACTTTGCAGTGCAGGCAAGAATCAGCAGCATAAGGCCTCTCGTTCTCTAGGATAATATCTTGGTGTTTTGCCCTGTTACTGTCAGTGCTCGGGCTGGTATCAGCTTTACTTCCATAATCGTGAGCAGCAGCAGAAGGGAGGGAGGCTGGCAGCACTTGGCAGCGAGCCACAGAATCACCTCGTCTTTCTGAAGCTGATGTGGGAGGTGGGAACAGGGAGGAAGCAACGCAGAGGGGACTGGCAGAGTGTTTATACGAAGTAGTAAGAAGGACGGGGACTGAATGGTAGCCAAAAAAAAAAAAAAACAACCTAAGGGTAGCAGAAGGAAGCTAAGAGAGAAAGACAGAAAATAAGACGGCTTTGTAATAAACTGGAATTCAGATAGCCTCTGGAGTGTTAAGATCATTGCAGTGGTTACCAGAGCTTTCTTTTTCCTCTTTTTCTTATCCTCCACTCCCCCCCCTCCAAAAAAAAAGAAGTAAAATACTAAGATTTGCATAAAATTATGAAGTCTCTATGATGTCAGTGGGTAGGCAGGAATTTGAATTGAGATGGACTGAGAAGGTCAAAGAAAAAGACAGAGCGTAACTTTGGAATTTATACACCCTGCAAACTTTCAAGAAAAGTAAGATTTTTGGTGGTGAAAAAAGCACTAACAGTTATTCCATTTACCTCTATTGGTCCCACTTATTAATTCCAGTTTATACCATGGTACACTTCAGCCTGTCTCCTAACAAACTTGCACATGATGAGCGAAATGACCAAACTAAACTCACAGAAACCTACAGTTAGGAGGTGTCGAAGGAAGAAAAGGTTGAAAGGAGAAAGGAAGGGTTAAAAGATGCAAGGAAAGGTGGGTTAATGCTCCAGCTCACCTAGTCATGCCCTTCCCCATCAACCTATTGAGCTGACAGGACACAGGGAGAGGAAAGCCACCATTGCCAGGAATCAGAGGAAAACACAGATATATAACTACCTCAATGCATTTCATCATCCCAGCATAGAACAGCGTATTTAATCTGGAAGGGATCTACAATGATCATCCTGTCCAACTGCCTGACCATGTCAGGGATGATCAGAAGTTAAAGCAAATTGTTAAGGGTATTGTCTAAATGCCTCTTATACACTGACGTGTGGAGCATTGACCACCTCTCCAGAAGGCTGTTCCAATGTTTGACCATTCTCTCAGTAAAGAGATGCTTCCTGATGTCTATTCTAAACCTCCCTGGCACAGCTTTGAAGAATTAATAGCATGGTTGAAGTAGTACAACTTGGTATGCCGTAGCAAGGATCCAGTGGTATTTGCAAGGCTAAAGACAAACCAGGATCGCTGTTGCTCACACTGTGCTATTTTTGAACACCTGTACAGGGCTGTAGCTGCAGACATGAGGGTGGGCTGGCACCTGTGCTGAGGCCAGGCACCTATGTAAGCCCACACCTCCCTCCTGAGGGGGATTCAGGCGCCTCTTCCCAAAATCCTCCAGATTTTGGCACTCACAGTAGCCCTGGAGCTCTTCGCGCTGCCGTCCAGCATCGCCCAGCGCTGACAGGGAAGGAAGAGGTGGCCGTGGCCATGGCCCATTGGGCAGCACCTGCAACAACCATCCCTGGAAATGTTCAAGGAAAGACTGGACTTGGCACTTAGTGCCATGGTCTAGTTGACAGGGTGGTGGTTGGGCATAGGTCGGACTAGATCATCTCAGATGCCTTTTCCAACCAAAGTGATTCTGTGATCCACAGAATTCTTAGGGTATACTGAGTTGGAAGGGACCCACAAGTCCAATGCTTAAGTAAATAGCCCATACAGGGATTAAACTACAACCTTGGTGTTATTGGTACCAGGGTCACCTGCAGCAGGTGATGTAGGAACACATCCAGGTGGGTTTGGAATGCCTCTGGAGAGGGAGACTCCATGACCTCCCTGGGCAACCTGTTCCGGTGCTCTGCCAGCCTCACTGTAAAGTTTGTCCTCATGTTGAGGCGAAACATCATCTCTGTTTAGATTATGGCCACTGCTCCTCGTCCTGTCACTGGGGACCACCAAAAAGAGCCCGGCACCATCCTCTAGTCACCCTCCTCTGAGATACTTATATGCATTAATAATCCTGTGATTCTGTGAGGGGCGGGCTGAGGGGAGCGGCTGAGGAGAGAGTTTGGCTGAGGAGGGGGAGTTGGGCTGAAGGGAGCAGCTGAGGTGAACGGCTCAGGGGAACGCCGGCAGCGGCGGCGGGAGGACGCGGTGACGGCCCCGCCTCGCCCCGGCTCCTCCCCGCGCCCTGGGAGGCGCCGCCGCCTTCCATGTGCGGGGCGGCCGCTGTGGCGGAACCGGCTCCTCCCCGGCGCGGGCGGCGCCATTTTACCCCCCCTCCCTCCCTGCCTGCCTGAGCGGCCGTGGCGGCGGCGGGAACAGCGCGAAGCTGCCGCTGCTTTCCGTCCCCCTCGTTTTCTCGCCTCGGTCCAGGCGAGAAGGAAAGACCGAGGTTCAGTTCCTGCCCCTCGCTCTCCCCTCCCGGCTCTCCGCACACGGGGTGGGGGTGGGGGGACCGGGCACCACAAGCTGCTCCCACCCTCCTTCCATCCTTCCTCCCCTGCACATCTCAGCCTCCTCCTCCTCCATCCATCCTTCCCCGGGGGTGAGCCTTTGAGTGAGTCACCAGCGAGGGCACGCTGTTAGGCAGTGTGTTGCTATTAATTAACTTGGCGAGGCTGCTCGTTGTTGGGGCCTTCAGGAGCATTAACGGGGCGGTTCCTGCCCGCGGTACCTGCGGGGCGCGGGGGGGGGCCCGGGGCGCGGGGTTTTCTGATGTCCTTGGGTGGTGTTACATCAGAACCTGCCCTGCTCGGTTTGTCGTCATGCAGCTAATCTGGAAGGTGTTTCTAGGACTTCTTTTTCATTTTCTTTTAAAATATTCTTAACATTATGTGACAGTGGCCAGGCTTTGGCCTGCAGTAAGCTGCAGGTTGTTAATTTCTTCGTGTCACTCTGATGCTATGAAGTGTTACTGGTTTGTAATTTTTGTCTACAGGAAGTGCATTTTGTTTATTGTGCCCAAACAGATGTGGTGGTTTATTAATTGTAATTCTATGTATTCGGCTGTTCATTCTTAGTGTGAAGTGTTGGATACATACATTGATGCCCTAAATTGATGTTATTCCTGATATTTCAGAATGTTTACTTAAGGTCTATAGTATTCCTTATAGAAATTATTAGTCCTCTCAGAAATTAATGGTAAATGCTAAAAACCTAGGAAGAACAGTCCAGAAGCATATTTCCCTATGTTAGCTTTAAGTGATTTTTCCACTCACTGTGTTTTTATATGTCCTACGTACAGATCAACTGCTTCTGAGTTCCTAGAAATTGCACAAATGGATGCTTTGCAGTTGATGAACACAAAACACAATATACATGCAAAACATATATTACTGTGTGTGTGAAAGGGAGGCAGGAACCTGATGTTGTGGGCAACCAAGTTTGCTGTATGGCATTAGTGCTAATGATTTATTTTGAGACATTTGATTTCCTACGAGTGAATCTGTTTCAAGGTTTGCAGCAGTGTTGGTGATACCCTTACATTTTCTTTTGAAGTCTTTGATCTAACTCCCACATCATTCTCTTTCTCGATACAGGCCTTGCTTTCCCTTCGGCTTAAGGCAGCAGTGCTTACTTGACGGGATACAGTGCACCCTCCCTCTCTCCCTTTTTGCATATCTTTCTTCAGTGCTGGCCAGGTCCAAGTGGTGTGGAAGGCAGTGTCAGTCCCTCTGTTAACTTTGGTGGACTTTGCACAGGCCCGTATTTGCATGTTACTAATATGCAAATCACGTTTTGTTTTATTTTGGTTCCTTTTTCTCCCATGTATTGTTGCCATGTAGGTGGAAATGTTGATGTTAAAAGTAGCATTTCCAACTCTAACAGTTTTTCTGAAAGCCTCATCTCTGCTTGTGAAAGTTTGAAAAAGTTAGTTTTCAGTTAGAGAAAGAAATTCTTAGCTGTGATTTTCTGAAGAAAAGCTTGAGGTCTTGCCAGAATATACTAAAAAGGCAGGAGGAAGAACTCCAAGTCATGTCTCTGAGAAGTAAACAACAAATCCTTCAGTGCATTAGTGGCATTTTACTTGTGACTTTAAAATACATGGATTTGGAGACATTACCTAAGGTTTAAAAAGATTCAGTAGCGTTTAGATTATTTGCTGAGCCTCTGTGTGTCATAACCAGCTGAATTACTCTCCTGGGCTCAATTCTGAGTAGCACAGAATGGGGCTGAGATTTGATTAGCTCATTAGTAACTTGTCAGTGTAAGCAAGCTGTAATTTAGCAAGCTACAAGTGTTTTAAGAATTGCCTACATATAATAGTGTAGAGCAACAGCGAGTATTGTTCACCTTGTTAGTGCTGCTCTGATGTGATGCCCTTGGGCTGTGAGACCAGCTAGACAGTGTCTTTCTAGGTCATCAGTGCAAGGGTGTTCTGAGGCATGAGGCCAAACCCAAGCAGTGTAATTATAACATAGAAACTAATTGAGTTAATGCTCTTGTTGCAATTGTGAAATATCCAAATGTGTAGATACACAAGTGTGTGCAGAGAAGGAAACAAGTCAGGCCTCTGTTCTCATGGAACGAGTCAGTGGTGAGTCAGTTATGAGCTTATCTGGAGCTGATCAAAAAAACTGCCTGTCAAAGGTTCTGAAAATGGTATTGATTTGGTCTGTAATCTATGTTTCAGATACTTGGCACTCACAATGCTGCAGGGAGTTGTTACTAATTTGAAGTAACCTTAGTAAGTGTTCTTTTGCAAGCTAACACTGGTGAAACTTCTATTTATAAATAATCTTTGGCTCTTCTCTACCCCTGTATTTTGCATACGTTTGAAGTATTGCATTTGATGACAATCAGACTTTCACAGAGTCAGCTGCAAAGTTTCTAGTTTACACAGCTCCTTAAACTGTCATAGGAGTAACAGGAATGGAAAAAGAGGTCGGGAGCTTGCATGGAAGAGGTGATTTCCAGTAGGCTTCTGCTGAAATGTTTTATTGAAAACACACATTTGTCTTTGCTACTTAAGCACATGGTTTTTAAAAGCACTTAACACTGAAGAGCTACATTGATAATTTTTATGATTTATTTGAGAGATTGTAGCAAGAATTAAGCCAGTTCCTAAGTATACCTGGGAAAAATGACTAATTTTGACTGAACAGGAATACATTTTAACAGACACTTATTGGACATCGCCTGTGACTGAGATCTCTGGAAAGGGTTGGTGGGCCTGAATGTTCCTGACATACTGTTAGACCTGCTTTTTAAGAGCTAATTTTCGTGCTTGCAACTTACATTTTAAAGCCATGGCTGTTTTTCCTGTAGTTTTCCTTGTATTAGCTGTTGTGCAAATGAACAACAGAGGAAGACATTTTCTCCTCTAGAGAATTTCTACTTTTGATGGCTAGCACTGATTTCTGAAAGGAGAGGAACAGCTCAACAACAAGAATTGGAGAAATTTTATGTAATCTCACCTACGTATTTGGCTGCTTGCTTTTGATGAGACATTTTGGATACATACATCGATGCCCTAACTTGATGGTATTCCTGATATGCCAGAATATTCAGTTAAAGTTAGGGTGGTACTATATATTAAGAAAGTATTTGAATTGCATTTCAAATAGTGAACCAAACACAGAGATGTGAAAGGATGAGGATCAATGTGAGCAGTGTAATAGATTGGGAAGATAATGCCACCTTGAAAGGAGATGAAGGCAGGCGATGGTTTAGAGAGAGAAGTTATACTGCGGAAAATATAATTTAAGGCTAATGGTGACTTGGCTGTGCTTTACAGAAAATCTACCTGTGTTGGTAAAACCTTAAGCTTTAAGTTACTTTAGATGGAACTAGAGATAGATGGGAACCATTGTTGGCAAATGAGCAGTAAAGCATATTGGCAGAACTAATTTGACCTTTGCATATTAATATTTTATGTTTTACTTGTCAGAATAAGCAAAATACTGAGCAAGTCACAGTTTGGGGCCTGTTCATCTTTGCATGCTGGAGTCAAGTGTGCAAGTCCCTGGTGACTTGAAGGTGTTCTTTATCACCAGACCTGTGTTTGCTTCACTGAAAATTGTCAGTGGTTCCCACAGGAAGATCATGGTCGCTAAATTGCATCTCTGTACAATTATTAAATAATTAGTATGGCAAGTTGAGAGTACTAATGTATTATGAAAAAACAATTGCTAGTCCAAATAAAGTTCTGGTTATAGGAGCCAGCTCCTGAAAGCTGTGGAAACTTTGCTGTTAGTTACGGGTTGTCTGGTCTTTACACTGTTTTGTTAAAGCATTTAACAAAATAAAGGAAAGTCATTGATGTTTAATTTGCAGTGCCATTAACTACCAGATGTGGCACAGAGCAAAAAGTGTGCACGTTCAGTTCAGAGGGAGGTGGGCATATACATTAGCTTAATTTTCGCTGCTTTCTTCTTAAAAAGAAATATATCACTTCTGGGGAAGGACAGAGCTCTGATTAGACTGGAGCTAGAAATGCTGAGAGAAGTGTTTGTAAACATCTCCAGATGTGGAGGCAGAGCTCTCATGTAAGATTGCTGTGTGTTTCCCAGTCTCAAGTAAAACAGTCACATCTGTATATTAGTATTCTTTCAGTAGTCCAGACCATTCTGTGGTCTGTTTCAGAAGAAGCTTAAATAATTGTCCTGTCTAGCTCATGGGTGGACAAATAATAGCTTAAAATATGAGGACATGCAGAGTAATTTCAAGTAAAACACAGCAGTTGTTACACACAGTGGAGTCAGAAGGTTATATTTTAGTCTGAGGTTGGTTAGTGACTTTTCTTTCCCAGCCAAGTCAGTGAGAGCATTGTGCTTGTTCACTGCTTTCATTTAAGGTCTTCAGTAAAATTAATGCACAAAGATACATTATGAAATGTAGAAATGAACATGAAGGATTATTTTATCTCCAGGGATGTTGAACAGTTTTAAAATGATTAAGATGCATGTTATTCTTTGCACCAAAATCTATGCCTACTTGTATTGGTAAATTTGTTCCCTTTGTTATCAGCCCTGCATGTTTCTTCTGTAACTTCTCCATGGGAATGAATGACTAAGTTGCCTTTTAAATGGAAAGGGGGGAATGATGTTCAGTTATGTTCCTTGTATTCGTGTGGGCTTTTCAAGCATGTTTTGTTCCAAGAAAGAGTGTCACGGTTAAAGATGAGATGCTTATTTGTCTGGGTGGTGAAAGCTGGGCTGGGCATTGACAACTATAAGATGAATTTTTCTTTTTGGTATTCACTTTAAAATAAAACTACCATAAGCAACTAGTCTATGAAGCAATAAATGGAAGCAGCAGCAGCAGATGTAATGTGTTATCCTTAGCATGAATAGTGCATACATTTCGCTTTGTGATACTTTGTTAATTAATTAAAAATGAAAGCAAGCTGAGGTTGCATCCCCAGCTTTGAACAATATTCTTGTGTGCAGACCTGGTGCAGATGTGTCACTGCCCGCCCACAGATTGCTCCTAATCCTGGATTTGGTCTGACTGTTCCCTGAAAGTTTAGGCCTTTGCTTTATCTACTTGGCTTTTGAAGAGGTGGTGTTTAGGGTATATGGAAGTTATTCATCCTATTGCCTGTAAGCAAAGCCATTTCTTAATTGTTGCACAAAAAAGCTGATTTTTTTTTTTTAACCTGGACAGGCTTGAGGACGATAAACTAGTTTCATTATATACTTGGAATCATTAATTTGTTGTAAAATTCAGACCATACATGCCCTGTGCATATCTGCGACCCTTTTAGAGTGTTTCTAGTTCCAGCCTGCTGAGTTCCAGCTCAGGAGAACTTAAAGACTTGGTGTTTTCATTTTTACTTTTC